GCAGTGAAGGGACTTCGAACTCGGCTGGGATGAGTGCTTCGGTGCCGTAGGTAAGGTTGAAGGGGGTTTTGCCTGTGGCAATTTTCTCTGTGGTTCGTTAAGCCCATAGGACGCTGGGCAGTTTGTCCGCCCATAGTCCCTTAGCTTGGTCTAGGCATGCCTTTAATCCGCGAAGAATATTTCTATTCATGAACTCTGCCTGACCGTTGGCTTGAGGGTGTGCGACTGAAGTGAAGTTCTGTCGGATTCCCATGTCTTGGCACCAGTTTTGGAACTTAATGTCCTCGAACTGCTTGCCATTGTCAGAAATTAGTACCCAAGGTAACCCAAAGCAACATACTATACTTTTCCAAAAGAAGTTCTGGACGTTTCGGGCTGTGATTGTTGCGAGAGGCTCAACCTCTACCCACTTGGTGAAATAGTCTACTGCTACCACTAGGAACTTCCTCTGGCCTGTCGCCGGTGGAAACGGTACAAGTATATCGATCCCCCATTGTGCGAAAGGCCATGGGCTGGTGAGATACTTGAGGTCGACAGCGGGCTGATGGTGGACGTTGGCGTGCTTCTGGTATTTGTCACACTTTCTAACGAGTTCAATAGCGTATGCTTTCATTGTTGGCCAGTAGTATCCTTGTCGTAGTGCTTTTTGGGCGAGGGCTCTGCCCCCCAAGTGTTCGCCACCTAGGCCCTCATGAGTGTCACGGAGTACGAGTTCGGCTTCGGAGGGTCATAAGTGGTGCAGGTAGGGGAGTGTGTAGGATCTTCGGTACAACCGTTCGTCTATTATGACTTATTTGGCCGCCTGCCGCAATACCCTTCTGGCGGCGTTGCGGTCTGCAGGGAGGGTCCTGTGTAGCAAGAAACTTACGAGCGGATCAATCCAGCTTGGTTCTGCTCAAACGACTGGTGCAACCTCCTCTGCACCCCCAAGAATGCTAGGCCGAGGCAGGTCCTCTATATACACGGTCCTCACGGTGTTGTCACTGGTGCTGGCTAGTCGGGACAGGGCGTCGGCCTCTGCGTTCTCGGACCTCGGGATCTGTTTGATGAAGTGTGACTGGAAGTTGAGCAAGGCCTCTTACTTTGGCTAAGTAGGCAATCATGGTTGGTTCGCGAGCTTTGTATTCACCTGTAACTTGGTTGACCACGAGCCAGGAGTCGCTACAGATGACGATATGTTTGGCTTTCACTTCTTTGGCTAGAGCTAGACCGGCTATCAATGCTTCATATTCTGCTTCGTTGTTGGATGCGACGAACTCGAAGTGTAGCACGTACTCCAATTTCGTGCCACTTGGGCCGCACAGGACTATCCCGGCTCCGCTACCCTACTGGTTCGAGGAGCCGTCCACGTGAAGGATCCAGGGCTCCTCATCCCAGTTCGCACTTGGCCTAACTAGGAGAGATGCCGCACTGGCTGCTACCTCACGGTGCTCGGACTCGACTGGCCTGGGAGCTCCGGGCTTGCTCGAACTGGGAGTCCCATCCTCAACCGACCTAGGGACTTTAGAACTGAAAATGCATTCTGCCACGAAATCTGCTAAGGCTTGGGCCTTAATAGTAGTTCTGAGCTTATATTGGAGGTCATACTCGTTGAGCTCAATGGCCCACTTGGTTAATCGACCGGAGACCATGGGCTTAAGTAGGACTTGCCTCAAAGGTTTGTTGGTGAGGAGGACGACGGTGTGAGCTTGGAAGTACGGACGGAGCTTTTGGGTTGCGGTAACCAATGCGTAGGCCAGTTTTTCTTTCTCTCGATATCTTGTTTCTGCTCCCTATAACACTTTACTAACATAGTAGATGGGTCGTTGGACCCAGTCTACCTCTTTTATTAGTACTGAGCTGACTACCTCGTCGTTCGCTGAGAGGTACAATTCTAMGACATCACCCTCTTTGGGCCAGGCCAAGACTGGTATGCTAGCGAGGTACCCCTTGAGCTCGTTGAACGCGAGCTGGCACTGTTCAGTCCATTCAAAACCCTTGCTCTTAATTGCTTTAAAGAAGGGCAGACAACGGTCTGCCGATTTGGACATGAAGCGGCTCAGAGCAGCTATTCAGCCATTAATCCTCTAGACCTCTTTCGTCTTCCAGGGTGGCCTCATATCTAAGATGGCCTTTATTTTGTCTGGGTTAGCCTTGATGCCGCGCCTGTTAACAATGTATCCCAGGAATTTACTCGAGGTGACACTGAAGACACACTTATTTGGGTTCAATTTCATGTTGAATCTACGTAGGATTTCAAAAACTGAATGCAAGTCTTGTATTAAATCGTGTGAAAGTTAGGTCTTGACGATCATGTCGTCTACATAACACTCTATTTTTCGGCCGATCAATGGCTCAAACAGTTTATTTACAAGTCTTTGGAAGGTTGCCCCGGCATTCTTTTGCCCGAAGGGCATGACCTTGTAGCAGTATAGGCCAACCTTGGTTATCAAGGCGGTCTTTTCCTCGTCTACTGGGTCCATCCTGATCTGGTTGTAGCCCGAGTAGGCATCTAGGAAACTTAGCATCTCATGTCCTGAGGTCGCATCCACTAGCCGATCGATCCTAGGGAGTGGGAAGTAGTCTTTTGGGCAAGCTCGGTTCAGGTCGGTATAGTCAACGCACATGCACCATTTACCGTTTGCCTTTTTCACCAAAATGGGGTTGGCCACCCAGCTCGGGTAATGAACATCTCTTATGAAATCAGCTGCGAGGAGCTTCCTGACCTCTTTGTCGACCGCCTTCTAGCGCTTAGGGGCTAAGTTGCGTTTCTTCTGTCTAACGGGCCTAACTATAGGGTCAGTATTAAGTCTATGAGTTATGATACTAGGGTCAATGCCAGACATTTTTGCCGCGGACCATGTGAAAATATCTAAATTCTGGAATAGGAAGCTTACCAGTTGGGATCGCAGGGGCTCCTGGACTGAGGCACCGATCTGAAGCATCTGAGCTGAGTCTTTACTGAAGTCGGGACAACAACTGTTTCGTCCGTGGGTGCAGCTCGTTCCTCGCCTTGTTCCGTGGGCCTCCCCAGTTCGAGGTCGTTGGCCACCTTGGTCTTCCCTTTGAGGGCGGCGACATAGCACCTGCGGGACTCAAGTTGGTCGCCCGCGCTACCCCCACTCCAAAATCTGTAGGGAACTTCATTGTCAGGTGGTAAGTAGAGACCACCGCTCGTAGGGCGTGGGTGATCGACCAACATATTATGGCATTGTAGGGGGAGGGAGTTACAACCACCAAGAACTCGTAGTTGAGCCTCACTAGGCTGAGCCTCCCTAGGCATTGTAGTGGACATAGCCACGAGAATGAATGTATACGAGCCCTTTAAGAATCGACTTGATATAGTGCTTCACTTCGGATTTAGGTAACCTACCATTCGAATCTCTTTATATGTTTGGATAGAGATCCTCCAAAACCGTACTCCAGTAGCTAAGTTAAAGTAAAGCTCATTGTATCCAAAGGTGACTTCATCACCAAAGAAGTGAACGATCGATACGAGGGCATCCGTTTAGGTTGGTTACTTCTCTCTCCCATGGATTTTGAATCGTCGTTGATTCAGATGGTCAGACCATTCGGCCAAAAAATCATTCAGACAATCAGTTTCATTTTATCCCAAATTTGATCCTGACAAAAAATTATTGAATCAGTTAATAAATCATTGACTCGAGTGATCGGATCGTCGACCCGTTCGATCCATTCAACGATTTTTTGTTGTTTTTAAATTTTAATTACTTATTTATTTATTTTTAATTTATTTTGTTAAAATGGGTCGCCCATTTGAATCAGACAATTGAACCATCAACCCAGAGACCGGTGGGCAGAATGATTCCGGTTCTGGTTGTTTTTTAAAACATTTTTCTCCCCTCCTGAAGCGTATCCGATTGAAGGATCTCCACCAACTTCACAGCCATAATCGGTGGCAGGTTGCATCGAACTATGTTGACACTCCTCATCATAGCTAGAGAAACCATGGAAAACCCCCCTCGGCCAATTGTCTTCCCTATCAAGTCTCAACCATGGCTCACCATTATTTTCGTAGTCTCTCTTGTCCTGAGGCTTCTCTTGCTATTTCCACTTCATCGCTTTCCAAGCTTTGTTCTACACCACCAAAGAAGAGAGAAATGAAAACTCGCTTTAGGGTTCTAATCACTAAAAACAGAGACTCAAGAGAGGCAAAAGACATAGTACACTTACTAGAAGTAAAGAACATACAGTTTAGATCCTTGGATGATAGTGAAACATGAATAGATGATCAAAGCCAACGAACCCCAACTATAGAAGCACCGAACAACTGAACGATTTATGTTGATTTTTACAGAGAAATCAAAACGATAAAAGGGACTCAGGAATCATAGAAAAACCCTAAAGTTGTTTCCCGAGAAGGTTTCAAATATCTATGAGTTGCAGCAACAGGGTAGGTGGAAAGGAGGAAGAAGATAGGGGGCAGAGAAAGAGAGAGATGTGGGACCCATTAATATATTATTTGTAATATTTATTAATTATATACTAAATATTTTTATTTTATTCAATGAGATCTACATACAATTTTCTCGGTTATTTAAGTTTAGCAGTGCCATATCAATATTTTTTATTATTTAACAGACCGGGCGTTATCTTACAAGGATTGTTAGATCTGTTAATCCCTTTTATTTTTGTGTGGTTAACAATAACAATTACGATGAAAACGTTGAGAAGTGAAGATGTTCCATTGATCCTATATATTAATTGTTTTATATACCTTTCTTATCAATGTAAGCAAACCTTTTATAAATAAGGACTTTTCATTTTTTTTGTCACCGCATGCAAACGCAGCCTAGCTAATAAAAAAGGGGCCCATCACAAAAGTCAACTACTTAAGCAGCTAATTCGTTGGTTGGTTTACTTACCATGCACCATTAGGCGTATAAATAATAAGGACAAGTGGGTTAATAGATTATTAATTGAAAATTCATCATTTTGCTCTTTCTAGAATATAAATAAGGGACAAATACAGACATACAAGCACATCATATTTACAGAGAGAGAGAGAGATGGAACTGGAACAGATACGCAAAGTGGCTCTAGCTTATTATCAGGGGAGTTCAGATGAGACTAAACAGCATGCAGAGAAGCTTTTCAAAAAAATGGATGCAGACGGAGATGGAAAAGTGAGTTTTAATGAATTCAGCGATTTTTTCATGAAAAGCAAAGGGCTCACAGTCCCTAAGCTCTGCTTCGAGGAACTAGACAAGGACGGAAACGGCTTCATGGACTTGGAGGAATCCATCGTTCTGTTCTACATCATTCAGACCAGAAGAATTTCTTGTGATGGATGCGGTTCGTTGATAAAGGGTATGTATTTCACATGCGTGCAATGCTTCTTCAACACTAAAACTGCTGTCAACTACAATCTCTGTTGCGACTGTCACCGTTCTGGAAAATCTGCAGCTGGCTGTGAGCACAATACCCTCGTCGACAATTATGCGCTGCTCCAAGACATAAAAGCTACACTTAACATGGAAAAGGTAAAGGACTAAGGTAGATGATTTCTTGACATTATTAATTAATTTTCTCATATTTTCTTTTCTGATCAAATGCCTTCTTCCTTCGTTATTGGACGATCAAATTAAGGCGGACAAATCGGAGGAATTGCTTGGGGAAAATATTGGTGAAGAACTAATAGACAGAGCTTGGGATATCTTTGGGGAAGATATTGGGATATTAGATGCGGCTGGCGAAGCAGTGGAAGCAGGAAATGCTGCTGGAGAAATTTTGCTTAACGCAATTGATGTGGCCACGAATTGTAGCATCATGTGATGCCCTGTTGGCCGGTGGCTAATTATTTGAATGAAGTAGTTCTGTGGTGCTTTTGTGTTTATTGCAAAACCCCTCAGTAAAAATACTTTTAATGAACACCGAAATGGGGAGTTATTTGTCATCCATAACGGAGAACAGTTATTTGTCAAAAAAAAAATAACTACTTTTTCAATGAACTCCGTTATGCGAGGGATTCACTTTGTAGAAAGTGTATTTACTTTCAACAATATGTGAGGGATCCACTGATTAAATTGTATAGAGGGAGAGGTAGAGTGTGAGAATAATCTAGGGTTTGAAACCAGAGAGAGTCAAAATATCATCAAAAGTAATAGGTTATCCGTTGGGTATCCATGACCCAGAATTAAATGGATACAACTCAACCCATCAATTAAGGGTTGGGTTGGGTTAAATGAAAAATTGCCACCCCTACATGACAATCATTCACTTACTATCTCCCAACCCTCCAACACAATGTTTTGGAGTTTGGATTCTAACCTCGAATCCCTTGTTGCAGGCGTTCCAGGTAAACACCTGCTATGACAGGGTGTTGCCTATAATTTTCTCCTTCTCAGGTGAACATCACCTTAGAAGATGGAGCCTCGGCCGGATGTCTCCTTCAAATTCTTGGGAAATAAGCTAAAAAAATTTGCCACTATCATCAAACATTTTTTCAGTCTCCAGGTAGAAGATGATGAACAGTGTTTGCTTGAAAGTTAGTTTTGACATTTTAAAAGTTTTAACTGGCACATGTCTTCATGTGATATAGATAACTGATGAACTACTAATGCCAAGTATTAGATTGGCACATTTTTTATGGGCATCAAGTTATGGGTGACAAATAACATATAGTAGATGAATAAAATATTTGAAAAACATAAAATATGTTATTAAAGTTTTAAGTCTTTCTAATTAGGATTAAGTGAAGTGATTATCTTGAAAGAAATACATGATTGTATGTAGTGGGGTTACACAACTATCATGCATCTAAACAAACTATCAATATTTTTTATATATCATATATAAAACATATATTTATATATTGCATGTACTATAAAGTCCGGTTGCTTGAGGGGTCAAGCTAGTCCCTAGATTCACACTACAAACAAAAAACCAAACTAGAAAAGACTCAATGCCACCACACCACCCAGAACCAAAACGAAGATGCAACCAGCCTTTACCAAACACAAAACCAAAGTGTCCACTTTCAAACCCCAAGTCACAGAAAACAGACCTTTTAAATGGAAACTCAGACCACAACTAACAAGAGCTAGGGGTGTTCATGAAAAACCGAAAAACCAAACCGAATCGAGAAAACCAAACCGCAAAATGCAGTTAATTGAACTTATTAATTTGGTTTTGGTTTGGAATTTTTGAAAACCAAAGGACCGGTTTGGTTTTCGATTAACCTACAACAAAAAAACTGACAGTTAATCGAATCGACCGGTATATATATTTATATGTATATTTAATATATGTCACATATTTTTTATATATTATATATAAATATATTCATTATATATATAAATATATACTTATATTATATATTTTTAAAATATTTATAATATATTATGTATCATTTATTATTTATAATATAATATTATACATATATTTATATAATATATATTATAAATATAAATGACCAAAAAACCAAACTGGTCAAAAATCGAAACTGGCGGACCGGTTAACCGGTGGTACTGGTTCGGTTTTAGTTTGAAGAAATGAAAAAACCAATAACACCGGTTCAGTTTGCAAAATATGCACACGATACACCAAGAGCTACCAGCCTACCACCAAGGAACTCGGCCTTTGCATCCTCTACCTCTGCCTTTTTAACCTTTCCTATCAACTTGCACAGATGCATCAACATACAAGTCGATGAGTCTTCTCAACTTCCTACTTCCTGGGCGGCCCCCAAACCTGAAGGCTTCGTCAGCTTCATCCTAAGAAGCTAAACTTTCAACCTCGTCATCATCCGCAGCACTTTCAGCTCCTTTCTTGAGTCGTGAAACTTCAATACTACGGCCGTACGGCAATCTTCTCCAACCCAGAATTGAAGCCCCAAAGATCTTCCTACACTGAAATCTCTGTTAGCCTGAGATACCACAAGGTCCCCTACCTTAAACAAAGACGACATTCTTATCTTCGGTTGGGAAGACCTTTCTCCGATGAAGTTCACCTCCAAGTCAGGTCTCTGGGCATGACCTTTCGGGTATCCACCCCTAGCACAGAGCACTTCCACCCCAGAAGGTGAGAAAGAAACGATAACTTCTAACTATTGTTTGGATAATTGATAAAGAGAATTAGATACAATTTTTAGAGCATTTTTTACTTTTCAAATGTCATTTAATAATTGATTAATAGACTAATTAACGGCAGGTACTAGATTGTCACATTTTGAAAGTTCAAATACTCTAACAAAAAGCATGAAAATGTCCAAAATACTCATATAATTACTTTTGACAAAAATGTTTTTCTTCCAAATTGTTTTCTTTATATCAATTATTACCCGGAGCCTCTGCATTCTATTTTTTCTGAAATTGATTTATTTTTCAAATTTATTGAAAAATTGTATTATTTTTTCTGTAGAAATCAATGTTTTTATATAAAAATCAACCTTAATGATAGTTATACGGATATTATTAATCGAAATCTACTTTCACATGCCCCTAGTTTTGACAACTAATCAGCCGCGTGTCCACTAATCACGTGCCATACCTTGATATATACCAAATTCCTTCATCAATTGACTTTTTTTTTTTCCTTTTAAAGGAACGAAACGGCATCCAACCCTTAACTGATTGATAGTCTCCTCTTAATTGCATGGGCGTGGGAACAGTGCAGAATCAAATGATTGGTAGTCTCCTCTTAAAACTCATCATCAAAGTAAACTTAAAGGGCTTTTATCATTTAGGGATAAGTACACTCTACTCCTCCTCATAAATTGAGCTGTTGAACAGGGGTGTCTCATGTCTCCGTGGACTTAGTCTCTTCCCTAAAGGCGAAATCACGCACATGTCATATTTGAAACCGAGAAATACGGATACACAAGATGCAGAWTTCTGAATTCCAGCCCCCCTACAACTAACCCTCTCCCCCCTATAAATCACATCCTGGCTATGAATTCACGGTCAGATGCATTTCCTCTGTATTTTGGGCCTAAAAAATTCTCATCTGGGTTGATTGGTACTTCTCCCTATTTTAATTGCTTGGGCGTATCGTCAAAGGAAACTTTATCAATTAATAATGTCATTCCTCACGATTGTGATGATGATGTCATCCCCGTGACGAAGGCTCAGTTTGGAAAAGTACAAAATAGATCGTAAAACCTTATATTTTATTTGTAAGCCTAAAGATTTATTTTTTCAAGGTAAAAAATAGGAGGTTTTTTATCAATTTTTTGTCCTTAATATCAATAAAAATAATATTTTTCATGTTAAATTTAAATAAGGGTATTGGGTACCATTATTCGTCTTCCTCCTCTGTATTAATATGAAGGGAAATTTGACCAGAAACCTTTGTGCTAATTTTCTGGATTGGATTGGATCGGATTTACGATTGGATCAACTTTTTGCGAGAGCTACAAAGTGCAGGATCTTTTCAAAATAACAAAAAAAAAAAATGTTTTAACTTTAGAAAAGTGAAATCGCAATAAAGATTTCTATGATTGTCAAAAACACCGGGAGATTTTTATATTTTACCCTAATAAAAGCATGTTGTCTTGACTCAGTTGCAATTTTCTTTAAATTAGCGCTAGTGGATCAGAATCGTACGAAACGATTCCATCTTCGTCATGCACCTTAACTAATCAATTATCTCTTCAGCTCTCTGGAGTCTGGACGTACTCTATATTAAGAGATTTGCAYGCACCCTCACAAGCACATAAACACCTACACCTAGGTAGAGACAAAGACAGAGAGAGATGCAGCAGATACGTGAGGCTGCCCTGGCTTACTACGGKGGTAGTTCAGATGAGGTAAAGCAGATGGCTATGAAATTCTTCAAAGCCATGGACTACAACGGAGATGGGAAGGTCAGTGTTCAGGAGTTCCAAGATTTCCTGAGGAGGAGCACAGAATGCCGCAGTTACAATTTCAAACCAAGCTTATTCACTGAACTGGACGAAGACGGTAATGGTCTTATTGATTTCAGTGAAGCGATTGTCTTCTTTTATATTATTAAATGGAGGGCAGTATTTTGTGTTGAGTGCGGATCATTTGTGGAGGGHTTGTATTTTACTTGCGTCGAATGCTTCCAAGATAGAAGCCGCGACACCTACAATCTCTGCTCCGCCTGTTTTCGCTCCGGTAAACGAAGCACTGAGCACCAACTTCTTGTCGATAATTATGCAATGCTCCAAATGCTGAGGCAGTCCACAGGCATTACCGCCGCCATTGCCAAGACCCAGCTGCAAGAAGAAGAATTGGTATGTGATGTCAATCAACCTTCAGTTTTCTGTTCCCATGAGCAAAATGATCACTTAGAATTAACTAAATTTTTATTTCTCTGTATAAAGGCCCTGGGTTCCGATTCTACCATGCAAACGCCTAACCCTAATCGATCGACGTCGACCAACCAATTCGCTCCGGAGGAAGAAGCTACTACTGGTTCTACTGCCAACGGAACCCCTAACAGAGGTATTGTCCAAATTGCTTCCAGAGCTTTAAAAGCATACAACCAAATGGCGAATAATAGAGATAAAGCGCAATTTAGTACGGCTGAAGATGTTGAAGCGTTGGAAGCTATCGAAACAATTGAGCTTGTCGAGGAAGATGCCGAAGCTTCTACTGAAATGCCTGGGAAACCGTTGTTCCATTTGATGCCGAAGCAGCTGGAGATTCCTTGCAAATTAATGGAGATATTATCGATACTGTATAATATTTAGAAAGATATTATTTAGGAAGTTACTAATATTGTATTTCGAAAGTTGCTAATATTGTATTTAGGAAGTTGCTAATATTGTGGATGAGTTTTAGGAAGGTATGGTTTTAGGAAGTTGCTAATTTCTAGAGTTGCTAATTTGATCATGATGTAATTGTATATAGATGGGGCGATTGCCTCCAT